ATGCCTTTCAGCCCATTGATTGATTCTGCACTGACACACAAACACCTGACCTTCAACTCAGTCCAATTTATGGCAACTATGAGCACTTGGACCATAGCCTTGAATGTTAAGATGTGTCAAGTGATTGAGGTATTTATTTTATAGAATGAGATATTTCACCTCTACCACTCTCCCAGGTGGCACGTTCCAGAGTGCTGTCACACTCTGGGTTAGAAGAAAAGTTTTACCCCTCATCCCCTTAAACATCCAGCCCCTCACCTTGAATGTGTGTCCCCTTGTGACTGACCCTTCAGCAGAGGGGAACAGCTGCTCCTTATCCACTCTATCTGTGCCCCTCAAATCTTATACACTTCAGTCAGATTGCCCCCTGTCTTCTCTGCTCCAAGAAAAACAACCCAAGCCTATCTACCTTTCTTCAGCTTAAATTTTCCATCCCAGGCAGCATCCTGGTGAATTTTCTGTACACCGCCTCCAGTGCAGTCAGTCTTTCTGTAATGCGGCAACCAGAAATGCGCACGATATTCTAATGGTGGCCTCACCAACATTCTATACAACTCCCCTTTTGTAATCTATTCCTTGATTTCATCAAGGCAAGTGTGTCCCTTATGCCTCTTTCAACACCCTTCTAACATGCCCTTCCACTTTCAGAGATCTACGGATAAACAATCCAAGGTGATTTTGATATTGATTGAGAGCTGATCTATTGCTTTTTAGCAGTCATTTGTGTGGCAACAAATTTATTTGCCAGTTTTGCGTGGAGTTTGATTTAATTGAGAACTTTTGTGACTTAAGGCTACTGATTTAACCAATATTTCAGTGTGGGATCTTCCTGTGCACTAACTAGTTGCCACATGTTAACCCAAAAACAGCAATGTCACTTCAAAAGTATTTGCCAGCACATGCTTGAAATTCCACAACCTTTTGAGCTGGCTTCGTTGCTTTTTTTGCTACATTTTATTGAATAAGGAAACTTTACATTGAAATGATATAATCTAAATAAAGCCATTGGCAAACTCCTACCACTGGTTGCCTTTAAGATTTAAATATGTGGTTGGCAGTGATGGTCCATTTTACCATGTTGATTTCAATCAACAGCAACAAAGGTGTAAGAGCAGAACTACTAGCAATAAAGACTCTTCTGAAACTTTTTAAATGCTCCAGTTGTTCGTTTGAATCTACTGAATTTTTCAATTGCCTATAGCTTTTGGTAAAATAGCAGTCATGTAATTGTGATGGAAAAGTTTGTCAATCATTCTAGGTGTTCCCTCTCTTAGATGTGTAAAGTGGACTGATTAAACTCTGATATTAAGCAAACTTCTATAGGAGGAAAGAATTATTAATACTTATCTGGATGTTGAATTGAAGGTAATTAAGAAAGTTTCTTTTTGTGGGCAACACACCTTTTCACAGCCAAAGCAACACAAAAACAAACATCGTAAAGAATATAAATGTTCAGGGTTGAATACTGCAATAAATTCCCTCAATTGTCTTCTGAAGGTCATGGAATATGTTTCTGTGTTCTGGATGAGCAGCCCACTTAGAGTGGGAAGACCTGAAGCCATAACAGTGTGGAGCTGGAGGAACACAGCAGGCCAGGCTGCATCGGAGAAGGAAGAAAGCTGACATTTTGGATTGGGACGCTCCTTCAGAAAAGAAGGGAAGGATCCCGACCCAAAATGTCAGCTTTCCTGTTCCTCCAGCTCTACGCTGTTATCTCTGACTCCGGCATCGGCAGTTCATACTATCTAAGACCTGAAGGCATCGTCTTTGTCTTCCACTGCAGGCTTCATTACCTTGCAACTGTTCTCATTGTTTCTCCACCGATGAGCCAAGGTCAGATGTCTCGCGACACCAGGTTAAAGTCTAATGAATTTAGTTGAGATCACAAGCTTTCGAAGTGCTGCCCCTTCGTCAGGTGAAGTGGGGGAAGAAAAGCATATAGGCACGGCATTTAGAGATCAATGGGCAGAGATCAAATCGTGTGAGTGCAGTGTGAAATAGTAAGTCTGTTCAGGTGATCAAAAGAGATTGAGTAAAGTGTCAACAGCTGAATAAGTGAAGTGATGACCTATAAACCAATTACTTGAAGTAGAGATAATTACAAGAAACTAAAAATAAGATGATGCTGGAGACAAACCAAATGGCTGGGATGACATGATGGCTATGAGTTGCATGCCGAGGGCCTAACCAAAGGAACAAGTAATCCAAATGTCTACAAACTAAGGTTGAGATAGCATAACTTATCAAGGTGATAGTGTTAAAATAAGACCGCAAGGAAGATTTTATAGGTATAGAACAGTATGGTGGGGTTACACGTGGCATGACACGAGGCCAGCTCCATGAGTATGGAACTTGGCTGTCTGTTACTGCTTGGCGATTTGTATTGTTGTGTATCTGGGCGGCCACCTTGGAAGGCACTTAGCTGAAGATCGGAGGCTGAATGGCCTTGATCACTCAAGTGTTTCCCGACTGGGAGGGAACATTCCTGACTGGCACTTGTTGCGTGGGGTCCATTCACCTGTTGCTGTAACATCTGCATGGTCTCATTGATATACCGTGCCTCGGGGCATCCTTGCCTGCAGTGTATGAGGTAGACAACATTTACAGAGTCACGTGAGTATTTGACGTGCACGTAGTGGATGGTGTTTTCGTGTGGTAGTAATCCATGTTGTCAATCTGACATGTCTTGCAGAGGTTGCCATGGCAAGGTTGTGTGGTGGTGTTCCACATTCGCAGCAAACCACCCAGTCTTCAGGAAAACAGTGGTCTGTTTAAGGCTCGGTTATTTGAAAGTGACAACTGGGGGTATAGGGTAAGCATTGTCCAAGGCAGCCTTCAAGATACACAACGTAGAATCGCTGTGCAGAAACAGATAGCCAAGTTCCGTACCCATGAAGATTGCCTCAACCACGATCTTACTGTTTTGAATCTTACATCTTCCTTAACAGTTCTATTTTAATGAGCTCCGTCACCTTGATAACTCGGTATGATCTCTCTACCTTAATTAGTTTATATAATTTTGGATTACTTTGGTTAGACCCTCGACATGTGACTCTTGTATTGATTCTGTTTGTCACTCATGATCGAGACAAAATGACTGCTCAACTTGTACTGCTTTTTGTGGACTGAGTGTACCTTGACAATATTCCACCTAGACATCTCTATTGTAGCTACTGGAGCGAATTTACTTGTGTTCAGCTGTTTCTAAGATGTCCAGTCTTCAATACAGTGGTTGGTTGGAATGTGGACGTGACCAATTGCCTCGCTTGTATCCAGAGCATTCAGCTATTTCCTTGTCATGTGGATTGAATTATATTGGCTGAAGACTGACATTAGTGATGTGAGGACTTGAGAGGAGGTGCAAGTGGATCATCCACTTGGCACTTCTGATGTATTCAAATGCTTCAGCTAAGTCTTTCTCTGTGCTGGACTCCTCCATCACCTGATGTGCCATGGATCTGCCTCCTGTTATTTCAATTAGTATTTTTTGTCTTGTTCACCACCACCACCCGCCACCCCCCCCACTCCCACCATGGTTTTGTCCAACCAATATTTCTTTGTACAAGTTCTTCTTTCCAATAATGGAGCTGTCTGTCAATAAGAGTCTGACAATTAACTTTTACCTTGCAACCAGCCTATTAGAAAAGCTTGCAGTTATATGCTAAAGCGCCTATATATAAAGCACTAGATTGACCCCCATCTGGGGTTTTTTGTCCTATTCTGATCCGTGGGATGGGTACCTGCACCCTTTTTGAAGAGGTTGTAGAGAATCCTTCCAATGAAGGATTACAGTTGTGGGAATAGACTGAGAAATTGGGTTTCTTATCCTTGGAGAAGGACAAGACAAGATTTTTGGCTCGAGCTGCCTAAAGTACCAGGAGTAGATGGGAAATATGGATTAAATAATCTTTGGAGGAGACCGGGTTTGATACAGACTTGGGGGAATAATGAGTGGGACCAACCAGTTTGACTTTCAAACAAGCTAGTGCAGACTTGATGGGTTGAAATACCTCTTTCTGTGCTCAGCTATTCTTTGATCTAGTATTTCTTGCACATGAAAAACATCTTCATCCTTCACATTCCAGAGAAGGAACCAGTGCTTGAACAGCAATCTAACATGCTGTTTATTTTGCACTTGAATATCAAGTTCTAGGTGGGTTGTAATCATTCTATCCTTGAAATTATCAGAAATTATCTTGATTTAAGCACGGTCTTTTTTCTCCCGTTTACTACTCTAGTAGTTTTATGGATTTTGATAACTCTTAATATTGAGTTTCCATTCACTTTTTTTTTTGCAGTAAGAATATTAATTCTATTGTGATTAACACCAGCATTTCAATTAAGTATTCTGGATAAGTTGCATTATGATGTATAAATCTATCATGTACTACAGATTGTGAACAATTGTAAAATTAATGCACTGACATCATATTACATAGTGGAACTGTTTTTTTTAATGTCCGATTTTAATGACCAGAATGACTTGGAGTGTGCACAATCTTTAAATTGTTTTGTGTAATCCGAAGAACTTAAGTCTTAGAGTAATTTGCGAGCTGAATCAAGCAGGAAATTCTGGTTCAGTTCTTTGATACATATCTGAAACTTAAATTTGCAGCCCTATTTGAACTTGCATTGTAATTTGTGTTTGAAGAATTCATATCTTTCCAAAACTTGATTCATCTAAATTTTTGTGTAATAAAATTACTAGCAGGGTAAACTGATTCATTCAGTTTCCTGATCTGCATCATTGGAATGATTAGTCCAAGTTGACTGGAACAAGCGGATTTCTTGTGTTGCTATTCTATAGCGGTGTAATGTTTAATTGCATTTTTTTAAAAAAAAAAGTCCCTGAATAAGTATCTGATCTGTACTGCTTCAGTACTTCAAATGCTGTCAGATCTACCATGTTGCTGCCCCTTACTGTTTTTTTTAAGTTTCTATAAAAAAAAACTAGAGTTTCACAGTTTTGTACAAACTAATCAAAATGCTTTTCTATTCAGCAGAACTTACCAATCAAGTACTACTAATACATTTTGACAATCTGGTTGAAAATGGCAGCTAACAAGAACAAGAATCAGAGTTCATTGGCACTACACAAAGTGATAATGGTTGGCAGTGGAGGTGTAGGCAAGTCAGCACTAACATTGCAGTTCATGTATGATGAGGTAAGAGATTATTTTCTTTGAGTTTATAATGAAAAGCAGAATCTCTTGTACTCTGGTTTCTACTAAATTATTGCACGAGTTAATTTAGATTGAAGTGCCAAGTACTGCGTAGGCCCAATATTTACGTATTAAATCCTTTTATAAAAGGGCAGTGTTCCCCTTCAGTTTAAGTTAGGAAACTCAAAGGCAGGCCAGAAAAATCAATTTTCAATGTGTAAGCAGTTTTTGTTGTTGACGATGGTTTTACGTTTTTTGTAAAGGGAGCTAATGTCATGATAGAAATGACTAATCTATCCTCTTAATTTTGGCTTCATGTCCTGCCTTAGGCATACTTTATCTGAAGATGGCATAGCTAAGTACAGGCATGTATGTGAAATACTGCTTGTAATTTAAAATAAGTTGATTACTGTAGATATAATGGAGTCCATCACAATAAATCAAGCTTTGTAGGCCGAAACTATTTTGGTAAATTGTATCCCAACACAAACCTAGAGTAACAATGTCCTATCAGTTTTAACCTATTTCAAGTACTGTTCAGCTGGGTTGGTATTTTCTCATGACAACCAGTTATTGTTATTCAAAACATTTTGGAGGAAGGATGATGTTAAATTTGAGAAGCTGCAGAAAAGATTTACAAGGATGTTGCTAGGACTGGAGGGTTTGATTAGAGGCTGAATAGGCTGGGGCATTTTTTTTCTATCAAGCATAAGAGGCTGAGGGGAGACCTCAGATGTTTATAAAATCGAGGGGCATGAACTGAGTGAATAGCCAAGGTCTTTCCCTACAATGGGGAGTCCAAACCTAACAGGCACAGGTTTAAGGTGAGAGGGGAAAGATTTAAAAAGGACTTCAGGGGTAACCTCTCCATACAGGAAAAGAGTGTGTGTATGGAACAAGCTGCCAGAAGTGGTGGAGGTGGGTACAATTACAATACTTAAAAGACATCTGGATGGGTATGAGAGTAGGAAGGGTTTAGATGGGTATGGACCATATGCTGGCAAATAGGGCTAGATCAGATTGGGATGTCTAGTTGGCATGCAGGAGTTGGACCAAGGAATCTGTTTCTGTGTTATATGACTCCTATCTCCATTCCCTTCAAGGTCACCTCAATGTGCTCTTAAATAACTAACTTCTGACTTCTACGTTGTGACCTTAGACCAACCTGCTATTCCCCTACTGTTAACTCAAGTGCTGAAATGTCACTTCTGTTTTGAATTGATTTTTCAATTTTAATATCCCTATTTGTAGTTAACATCTGTTTTCTTTTACATTTTCTAATCTGAATACAAGATATTCCAGGGGAATTGAGTTTGAGCCGTGAGGTTATGCTGCAGCTCTATCTAACTCTGGTTAGACCACACTTGGAATACTGTGTTCAGTTCTGGTCACCTCATTATAAGAAAGATGTGGAAGGTTTAGAGAGGGTGCAGAGGAGACTTAGCAGGATGCTGCCTGTACTGGAGGGCAGGTCTTATGGGGAAAGGTTGAGGGAGCTATGGCTTTTCTCATTTGGAGCAAAGAAGGATGAGAGGCATAGAGTGGATAGCCAGAGACTTCTTGCCAGGGTGGAAGTGACTATCACGAGGGGGCATAATTTTAAGGTGATTGGAGGAAGGTATAGGGGAGATATCAGAAGTAGGTTCTTCAGAGTGGTGGGCGTGTGGAATGTGCTGCCGGCGGTGGTAGTGAAGTCAGACGCATTAGGGACATTCAAGCGACTCTTGGATAGACATGTGGATGATTGTAAAATGTAGGGTATGCAGGGTAGTTTGATCTTAGTAGGATAATAGGTCGGCACAACATCATGGGCCGAATGGCCTGTACTGCGCTGTACTGTTCTATGTTCTATGTAGCTGATTGGAAGTTTTACTCTAACTGCTTTAAACAGCTATGTACTCTGACATTAAATGTATTCTGGTTGGTGGTTTTTGAGGGGTCTATTCACTTTTTGTTTACGGAAGGTACTGATGTTTACTTAAGAAATATTTCACTTAGTGCCAGTATTGGGCACCCCCACGTGAATTATGGCAGATAAACATAAGTAATGTTGTGAAAAGAAAGCTTTTGCTTTTCTTCTGCTTTTTCTCAGCTTCAGAAGAGCACCCTCTGCTGTATTAGTGTAACACGTTTTATATGTAATTTCCTAAGTTATGATCTGCCTGATCATTGTGTGAAATTGAGCAGCCAGTATTTTGCACTTGGAATGAGGCTCTTCAGTTTCATTCACATTGGATCCTTTTTGAAGGTTGAGAGCACATACTGACAATTGAGTTTTTAGAAAAAACTTGTGCTCCCCTATAATTCTGATGAATGATATCACTGGCTAATGATGATATGTATAAATTCATAGGTTTTCCCAAATGTTTCTCTAGCTGTCAATTTGGTGTTTTTGGCTTGGATTTTTTTAAACATTCTCAAAATACTGAAGATCAGGAAAGGCCATTTGCAGTATCAAATGTTGTTCTGCTGGTATATTAACATTTCTGCTGTAGCATGTACTGAAAATTTGTTTACTACGTTTCACAGCAAAGTAGTTTTGCCTTACTCCTCCTTTTACAGAATTCAGTGTAGAAGGAAGCCATTCAGTCCATTGTCTGCATGGGCTGTATGAACATTTTTACTTCATGCCAAACTCTTGCATTTTTCCCCATGACCCAGCACACTTGTTTAATTGAAATAACCATCCAATGTTCTCTTTTTGAATGCATCAATTGAGCATGCCCCCAGTACACTTGTAGACAGTGCATTTCAAGTTTGAACTATTCCCTTTTTCTCGCTGTTCCTCCACCGCACCCCGCTCCCCTCCCCACCCCCCTGCCCCCACCACCACCATGAACAGCTTTTCAAATCACTTTAAAATTGAGTCCTCTGGTTTCTAATCCTTTTTATGGGCGATAAGTTTCTCTCTATCTACTCTGTCCAGACTCCCCTTTACTTGAAAACTTCTGTCAAATCTCCCCTCATACTTTCTCTTGAAGGAAAGCAGTCCCAACTCCTCAAATTTGTTCTCGTACTTGAAGCTTCTCATTCCTGGAAATGCTTTTATAAATGTCCTATGCACTGTCCAAAGCCTTCATGTCCTTTCTAAAGTTTGGCACCCAGAACTCTGCAAGTACTCCAGCTTAGGATAATCAGCGTTTTAAGTTCAGCATAACCTTGCTGCACTGGTATTCCATTCCCCTTTTAATGAACCTTAGGATACTGTCTGTATCCTATGTCTTGGGCTTCTGATTGCTCATCATCTGTAAACACACTGACCTATATTGATTCTTTGCGGATTATGTTTTAAACATAACCCCTTCAAATCCCACAGGATCTCTGTTCAATTACTACTTGGACTTCCCATCACAATGAAAGATCATAAGGAATAGGAGCGGGAGTATCCATTTAGCCCATTTTGAGCCTGAACCACCACTTAAGGCTCTAGTTCATTGAGTTGTGTCCTCAGTGCTATTTTCCTGCCTGTTCTGGTTTGACTCTATTCTCAATCACAAATCTGTCTAACTGGCCCTGAATATATTCAAAGATCCAACTTCCACTGATCTATGGAATGAATTCAAAAGACAGATGTTCTTAAGAGAACAACTCCTCCTCTTTAGTTCTATCTTGAATGGATGATGACTTAATTTTAAACAGCTTTGTCTAGTCCTGGATACTGCCATGAGAAGAAGCATCCTTTCAAAATCTACATTGGCAAGTGCTCATAGAATCTTACATTTCAATAAGATTACCTGTCATTCTTCTAAAATCCATGCATGTAGACTGAGGAATCAACCAAGTGAAACTCCTCTGAACTGCTTCCAATGTGACCACATCTTCCACACCCCCCAAAAAAAGGTCCAGAACCATATACAAAATTTGACATGTAGTCTCACCAATGCCCTCTACAATTGCTGGAAACTTTCCTACATTTATCGTCTATCTCTTATCCCAGTCCTTGCTGACATCAACCTCTGTCCACCCAAAGAAAAACTAAAGTGTCATCTATATGAGCAATATGCTAAGTATATAAGGCTGGTCATAAATATGACTCCTGATATGGAAGACTTGCAGTAGGCATTAAGGATACAAATACGTTGAAATGCTAGCGGTAGGCCCGATGTACTGATAGCCATTGATATGAGGTACTCATGAAACTGTACTTCAAAAATTCACTCCTTCAGGTAAGAGAATGGAAATAATGTTTAATCTGGAAAGGGAAAAATCTTTCAGTTGCAAGTTTCAGCTTAATTGTGCTTTTTAAATATTTCCATTTCAGTTTGTGGAAGACTATGAGCCTACTAAAGCTGACAGTTACAGGAAAAAAGTTGTTCTGGATGGCGAGGAGGTACAGATAGATATCTTGGACACTGCTGGACAGGAGGATTATGCAGCCATTCGGGATAATTACTTCCGCAGTGGGGAGGGTTTTCTCTGCGTCTTTTCAATAACTGAACAGGAATCATTTACAGCTACAGTAGAATTTAGGTAAGTAGTTGGTAACTGACTTTTTATCTTTTTATTTAGGAAGCTCTTTTATACAGTTAAGTTGTGTGTTATTTTCAGCCATGGAGTTCTCATGAATTGCAAGTGTTGCAAATGCATTGTATGGTAGCATTTTGCAAGGAAGAGCAACATGAAGCCACTATTTCATTTCATTCTTGAGGTTTGGAGCAAGGAAATGTCCTTCAAGAAGAATTAAAGTTGAAAGCGATGTCATGTTTCTGGAATGCAAGTTTGAAATTATCTGAATGTAATTCAAGGTGAACAAATAAATGAAGAATCCTTAGTGGGCACTGGCAGTGTTTATAAGCTTTTTTTTTGTCTGCGTAGCAAATGAGTCTCATGCAGGGAACAGAGGCTATGCATTAGTGGTGAAAGGTGTGCATGTGTGTTAAAGGGACCATGTAGTGCAAAAAAACCTATCAGATACAGCCAGTAGAAGTAATATGGAATAGTGGCTGGTGGTATCGTGCCACAATTTTTATGCTGGCCTGTTTCCTTTCTGTTTAAATTCTGTAAAGGGCAACCATGTTATAGAATTAGAGCTCCTTTTAAATATAGTCTCCAGCTTGCCTAATCTCTAGGTATGCATTGGTATGATCTGACAGCACGTATAATTTCAAAGTTTTAAGTACAATATCTGATTATTATAAACTACTGGGGCACCTTTAATGTTATCTATTGAATTCTTTCCTGTGTGAAGGCTTTGCAGAGTGGCACGTGTACTGTTTGCTTTGGGAATATTTTTCAGAACAGTTTATTTTACATATTTTGGAGGTGGCATACAAAGTTATTGCTTTCTAGTTGACTAAAATTAGAAATGAAATAGAGGCTGGAGTATTGCTTAGCAAGCAAATTTTTATTGAAGCTTTTCATCTTGCACTCTGAAGACTGTCTTATCTTCAAAAATATACAATGTAAAGGGCAAGCAACATTTTATACTACATGAGAATGCTGATTGAGAACATCACTTCAAGTTCACTTGGCAGTGTACCAGTTACAGATGACTGAGGTAATGTAGTTGATGTTTTCTATCTGGCCTTTTCAATAGAAGTGCAGAAAATAGAGCAGAAGTAGGGGTTCAGACCTTTTTTGAGCCTGCTCTGCCATTCATTGTGATCAAGGCTGATTTGTTCCAACTAAATAGTCAGTTTTTGCTTTTCTCACATCCTTTGATCCTATTAGCCCCAAGTGCTGTATCTAACTCTGATTTAAATAATCATACAATGTTTTGGCCGCAACTGCTTTCTGTGGTAAGGAATTTCACAGGTACACCACTCTGGGTGAAGAAGTTTCTTCTTATTTCAGCCCTAAATTGTTTACCCTGTATCCTTAAAGTGTGACCCAGGTTCTGGGCTCTCCTGCCATAAGGGACTTCCTTCCTGTGTCTACTGTTTAGTCCTGTTAGAGCTTTTAATACGTTTCTGAGAAATCCCATCCATTCTTCTGAACTCGAGTAAATATGCTAATTTATTCAACTCCCCCGGCACCGTGTCAGCTCTCTCATCTCTGAAATCAGTATGGTAAACCATCACTGCACTCCATCTATAGCAAGAATGTCCTACCTCTGATAAGGAGACCAAAACTGCACACAGTATCCCTTAACAATGCCCTGTATAATTGAAGCAAGACATCCCTGCTTCGTGTTCTAATCTGCTGTCTAAGGGCCGACGTATCATTTGCTGCATTTACTGCCTGCTGCACCTGTACGCGTAAATTTACCAACTGGTGTACAAGGACACCCTGGTCTCGTTGCACACTTCCACCCCCTGCCTCAATTTGTAGCCATTCAGATAATCTCCCTTCCTGTTTTTTCACTCCTAAGGTGGATAACCTAACATTTTGTCCACATTATACTACATCTGCCATGCATTTGCCCACTTGCTCAGCTTGTTCAAATTGCACCAAAACATCTCTGCATCCTCTTCAGGCTTGCCCAGCTTCTCGCAGTCTGCAAATTTGGTGATGTTACAATTACTTCCCTTATCCAAATAGCTATTTTGTGAATAGCTGGGGCCCCAACACCTATCCCTGTGCTGCCCCACAATTCACTACCTGCCACTTGGAAAATGGCCCACTTAGAGCTCTGTTTCCTGTCTGTCCACCAGTTTTCTACCCATCTCAGTACACTACACCCAGTACCATGCATTGTAATTTTACACCTTGTCTTGAGGGACTTGTGAATTTCAGAAGGCTTTTGACAAACCACATCTACTGTCTCCCCTTCAACTCTACCAAATAATCCTTGAATAATTCCAGTAGATTTTTTAAACATGGTTTCCCTTTTGTAAATCCATTCCGATTCTGAACCAACCACTGTTTTTCAATTGCTATCACTTCTTTGATAATGGACTTCAATATTTTGCTGACTACTGATGTCAGGCTGATTTTGGTCCATTAATTCCCGTTTTTAATTTTCCTTGCCTCTGCCTTGGTTGTTAAATAGAGGGGCTACACTAGCCACCCTCCAATCTGTAGGAACTATTCTAGAGTTTATATTGAATTTTGGGAGATGATTACCAATGCATCCATTGTATCTAAGGCCTTTTCCTTAAGTACTCTGGGATGTAGTTTATCAGGCCCTGGAGATTTATCAGCCTTCAATCCCATCAATTTCCTCAGCACCATTTCCATCCTAATGCTGCTTTCCTTCAATACCACCATCACAAACCCTGTTTTTCCCAACATTTCTAATATTTTGTGTCCTTCTTTGTGAACAAAGTATGCATAGCAAACTTTCTTTTAACCAGCACCATATGAACCGGCACTCTCAACTAAACCAGCAAAAATTATATACCTCAAATACTGCAAAGTTTACTGTGCTCTGTCCATTAATTTTAGTTTTTACTTACCTCCATGTAAGTATACTTCAATCAAATGGCCACATGAAATGTGAACAATTGTTCATTTAAGTCAATTTCTTAAATACTGTGGTGTCCGAGTAGTCAGCTGAGGGTGTGAATGAGAAGGCTCCCTGCTGGCAAGTTTTAATTAAGGCAGTGTTGCATTGTTATTTGTGATGCATCCTGTACGTAAAGTTATAATAGTGTGTATTATGCTTCAATTCCTTAGTGTGTGGTTTTAAGTTATGTGGACACCTTGATTATCTGAAATATTTGATCAACTACCTCCCTCCTGATCTCATAGGTGCCAGTTAATAAAAGGTCTGCTGTATTTAATTGGTCAACCATTATAAATTGTTCCCCATTAAAAATTCCCCCCGTTTTTTGACTGTAAGGGATCTATATTTGTCTTCACCGATCTTTGTTCTTTTCACTTACCTATCAAAACTTTTACAGTTTTTTTTTATATTCCCTGCAAACTTACTCTTGTATTTTCCACTTTGAGTCCCTTTATCCTTCTTTGTTAAATTGTAAGCTGCTTCTACTTCTTGGGTCTGTCTTCTCTCTGGCTGAGATTTGTCTCTTGGATCTAATACACTCTCTTTTCTCTCTCGTTTTCATTAAGCTGTGGTTTGGCCAGCTTTCATGTTTTACTTTTGCACTAGACAGCAATGGAAAAATTATTGCAGTGCACCCATGTGCTCTTTGTCATTGCCTTTGCCTTTGCCTTTCCACCATCATCCCTCTAACATTCCTCAATCTATCATAGCCAACTTGTGCCTTGTACCATTTGTAGTTTCCTCTACTTAGATCAGGACCCTAGTCACAGAATCAACTATGTCACACTCCATCCTAAAAGGCATTTGATGAAATACCAAGAAACAGACTTAAGCAAACTTGAAGCTCATGGAACTAAAGAAGCAGTTTCTGTACAGATATGAAATTTACTAAGGAGCTGGAAGCAAGTAACTGTGCTGAATGAAAGATTTTCTGATTTTGTTTTTGGAGAGGAGTGTGCAGTTGCGATGTCCCCTCTCTTTGATTATGTTAGCTGCTTGCATGAGTTTAAAGGCTTTGGGGGCAGATGGGATCAAGGCTTTGCAAATAATTGTAAGCAGCACAAAATCAAGGACAGTACATTAAACCTTTCTATAATCAGTAATCCATTTAGATTGTAGATGGAGGATTTATAGCTAATTCTGGGCAACCTTGTTTAGAAAGGATGTCCAGTCTTTGAGATGGGATCATGTGTGGAAGACCTAGTTACATGGCATAAACTAAGCAGGGTTGTTTGGAGCATTGAAGGTTATGGTAAGGTTTGATAAGTGTTCAAATACATGAATGGTTTGTTCAGAAATTTCAACTTCATTGAAATTTGAACTGTACAGCTTCCTTGTGCATGATTTGTATATGCATAAATCTTTGGGAATCAAGATTATGGCTAGTCTACAATATTTTAAGTCAGCCCTCTGCTATCAGGCCAGCTATACCTGTACCACCAGAGAGCCTGGCAGTGATTTTCTTTCCTTAAAATATGGGAGTGTGTGAAAGAGCCAAATGTGATTTTGTTTTTTTTAATAAACTATTAGATCCACAATACACATGATCCCCTCTCAGTCCCAAGTATAAAAGCATAGCTGGCAGAATTTGCCTATTTACTTGACATAGATCTCACTGAAGCATTTAACGCAATGAGCAGGGCACTGTCATGCATCCCAGTCTTGGCTCTTCCTCTATGACCATTTGTACTGTACTGTACAAGTTGGTATCAGTTGACCTTCCAGGTGAAGAATGGAATGAAAAACATCCCATTTCCCATCTGTGTATGATAGTCTTCTCTAAACAGCTGACCTTCTTCCCTGCAAAAAATAAATGAAGGACTCTACTTGCATACCATATCAGACAGAAAGCTGTTCAACCTATCTGGATTGAAAGCAGAGACAAAAATGCAACACTTGTTTAGAGAAGGTCGCTGATCATTATATGATGCTGCACTTGTTACTTGCACAAAAACTCAGATTTGGGAATTATCTTTTCCGCATCTATAACCACTATTGCTGGCTAACAGCATCTAGGAAACCATGTTCATAGGACAAGGTGTCCCATCTCTGCCTCTGATCTCTTTAAATAACACTCCCCTGG